AGTATTGGTAGTTGCACTGGTGAGCCTTTTTGGGAACTTTCTTCTCTTCTTCTACTTCCCCACCTTTATTTCAAGTCCTGTGAGCTCAGTTTCTCTTCGATAAAGAAGAAACTAGATCCGTCCTCATTAGAAGCTTTATGTTCTTCATGGTCGTGGCAAGATTAGTGCAACTGGCGCAGTTCTGCTTGATGGGGGTACCAAATGGTGCTGAGAAAGATGTTGCAGGTCACTTTGCGAAGATCTCATGATTCCTGTAACTTAGAAGCTCACTTGTACCATTCTGCCGCTCCACAAGGGTTTACACCTCTCATCAAAGTACCAGATACCTGTTAGTTGAATGAGATGAGCGAAACTTCGGAATCTCTCCCCCCCCCCTCCTCCCCCGCCTCTTCTAAGGCAAACAGCGCCATGAAACGTTGTCCAGTAACTGGTTGAAGACAGTGATGAGTCAAATTTGTCCGCCAGTTCCAGCTCCTGATCCAGAGTTCACAATCCCCTTCCATAATCCACGGTTACATTCCTCTCGCAGATACCTGAAAGCTTTCCCTGAGACTCGATGTCATAGAATCTGAGAAGAGATAGACCTGGAAAGGGGGGGGGGCTTTGTCGAGAGAACTACCAACCGCTGATGACGTTCAGCTGGTGAATGCATCTCACAGAAGAGCCGTGGGGAATGAAAAAGCGGAAAACATGAGGCAATGAAGTGTGAATGGACTTCATTTATTTCAAATTCATTCTTTCAAATAGCGTTTCAACTTAAAAATTGGCACTTCTTCAAGGTTGGCAAGGACTCGTTGAATCGTGCAAAAGGCGAGGATCTCAATGATCTACTACGAATGGACGTATTTCCACGTTGGACTGATCGTGAAAACAAATGGTCGGTAAGTATTCGAAGTTCTTTTATGGATGCTGCTGATGGAACATTTTGCCCCCTCCCCTAAATACTACCCATTTGTCCTGTTCTTCAATATAGTCAATTAATTTTCATTTTCGATGGTTTTTCTGTGTACCCTGTGAAGTTGCTGCTTTCGTCTCTTGATGTCTAGCACAAGTCACGGCTGGTTCGAGCAGCTGATATCATCGCAGTCAGTGGGGGCGACGTCAGGGTGCCCACCACAGCGCTTCCATACTGGTTGTTTTTCTCCTGAAGCGACCACTACTGGTAAGGAAAAGTGCGGTGGGCTCATTACACGCCTCCTGACATGGTCATGGACCCGATCTCGACGATATCAACTATGAATTGTCATCAACTGCTCATGATTGTCGTGACATAATCGGACTGAAACTACCAAATGGGCTTATGATTGGAGGTTATCAGTAAATCTCTTGTATTCTTCTATCCTTGTGTCATTTAGTAGTGAGTGTGGTCGTAGTACTTTAGTGTCCCACAAAGACAGTCTTACCAGGGAGGGCGCTTCTACCATTCAAGGAAAGCGCCCTACCTCCATCAGCTCGGGCACTTCGGGTTCTCTTACGGAAGTCAGCATGAGGCCTTCGAGCGCCTAGTGACAGGTATTCCGATCCCGCTTCAAGTTCGTACACGTACAAGGCAGAACTCCATGTACGAGATCCTATTCGTGCAAGTAATTTTTGTCAGTTCCACAGAAGATCCTCGAATTAGTCTTCAAATCCCTCAGCTGCTTATTTCAGCACCATACTCTTTATACTTTTCAGATCCAAGCTTTCTATTGCCTCGAGAGCAACGCTATATTTCTTGTTTTAAATGGCTACAACGATTTTGCACATCTTCGACAAGTGTTTTCGTCTAATCATGACAAGGTAAACATAGCCCTACTCATTATATCATTCAGCGCTGTTTGTCTAGGAAGGGGGGCATTTAGCACTTTCGTTAGTTATTTCAGTTAATTCATTTTAAATGACAGGTCCCACATTGATGAGACTTGTGAACTCTTGTGAAACTGCGAAATGGTGCTAGTGAGCATAAGCTGGTTACAGGAGTTCATAGGTCTTCACAAGTTGGACTGAGGCTTCGCGGAGTACCTTTGATGCCCCATAAAGCCGTTGCGCCGATCATTCTAGAGATATTTTACTTATTCTGAGATAGGACTGTATGGGATGTTCATACTGATCACGTCGCTTTTTTCAGAATTTCTTCGATAGAATAGCTGAAAGTGAAGAGCAGGAAGTTCGATTGCTTCACTTTTTGTGTATACTTTCTCATCTACTAGTTTTCGTGGAAAGTAGTACCCGTTTTGATATTTCTCTTTCTGACATGCTATCCAACGTCAACAAGATCAGGTGAGCTAATTACTTGTGGTTTTGTAACAGTTTTGGGGAAATATACCATAATTTCGTTCCGCCGATCGCCCTGCTGCGGTTTTGTAGGCGCGATCGTCTTGGTGTGGGCATGTTGCGTTCAAGGTTTTAAGATTTTTACGTATTTAACGACTACTTCCTTTGAGCTGAAGATACGCACTACAGAGAACTCAGCTATCAAAAGTAGCTGGGAAAACGTAGTCTTCGGAATGAGTCTGTCCAATTCCCAGATTCCCAAGATCTGCAATATAAATTTTTTCCAGAAAGAATGTGCGAGAGTCAGTCAGTGAAAAACTTGAAGAAACATCTGGTGAAGCGACGGAATGGATTCGGGAAGGACGAATTGCCCTCCCACGCATATTGTTTGCATTCCAGCGGAACATCATACGCAGTGAACTTGGTTACGTTAAAAAAGTATGCTATTTTTTATCAAAGGTGTAGTGGTTTTTCACTGCTGGTTTCATTTCAGCGTGAAATATGCGACAAATTGGAGCACAATTTAGAATCGCAAATATATTCAGTGCTGAAATGCTATAAATTGGTAGATCATTCAACGTGAGTTCTTTTTCAACCGGTCACCTTTTTCACTCAGTGACGTGAAAAGTGCCCATTTTCAGCGGAGATTCCCTAGGATACGTGCCTGAGAACGACGCATACGTTAATGTGATGCAACCGGTGCTGGTAAATGTCAACCCTTTAGCCGATATCCTTCAAATTGCTCTGGGAAAGGAAATCAACGAGGACGGAGACGACAGATCAGACAGTATCATACCTGGATAGCATTCCTGGATTTTGTCAGTAAAGCAGTATTACTTCAGAAACACCGTCTTTCACAAGATTCTTGCGCTCACATATCGATTCTCTGAAATCAACTAAATCGAAAATCTATGAGGTATATTACAATTTCGTTCGCTGCGGATGCTGGGGCGTCTGTCTGGCACGTCTCCAGCCACTTTTCGATCAACTCCGGTCGTCCGCCAGCTTCCAGAACTGATGGAGGACATGCTGGCGACGTGTCAAACCAAGTGTACTGACACGCCCCTGCATCCGCAATGAACGAGACTGTTTCTAGCACATGAACGAGACTGTTTCTAGTCCTCTCTCTTAATATTCTGCATGATTTTTGTCGTTATTACTTGCAGATGCCTAAACTAGAGCTTTGGATCAAATATGCCCGCGCCTTACTGGACCTCATTAAACCAGACTCAGAAATGGTAACAAGAAAGTTGTTGAATCAGTACGTCAATAGGCAGTTGCAGTTCATGAGAATGTGGGTACATCATTTGACATCAGAAATGTTTTTTTTTCATGGAAATGAGAGCCACTCAAAGCTTTCGGCAAGCGGTTTTCTTCCTTAGTTTTTTTTTTATTATTTGCAGTAGGAAGAGTTCTTCCCGAGCAAATTGTCTAAAATGAATTGGAACATAATCAGTGTAAGAGTTCGGCAGTCTGGCAGTCTGACTTGGAGGGTACATTTTGCTGGTTCCCATCATTACCGACTCCTCCTGTCCTCCGAAAAGAGTCTACAGGTCTCACCGGGGCAAGAGGTGTAATTTCGCGGGAACTACGGAACTAACTTTGAGGACTAGCTAATGCGTTGGACTCCAAGATATTTCGGCCCCACCGAGCTCATTTTTAAAATTGCCTAAGTCACCAAATCTGCCCTAAAAATTTGTATAGGGGTAGTTTAACATCCTGATTAAGAATATGTCATTCGCTCTTGTCGCTGGCGCTAATGGATGACACTACGATTATCTGCGCTCTGCTAAGGCTGAGCCTAGGAGGTGATCCTAGTGTCCTCTCTTGACGCCAGCGACAAAAGTGAATGTCATATTCTTAATCAGGATGTTAAACTACCCCTATATACAGGTTTTTGGCGGATTTATTAAATGTTTTTTGGGTGACCTTAGGCATACAAATGGGCTGGGTGCCGAAATTCTTGTGAGTCCAACACGGCATTTAGCCCCTTGAGGACTGACAGAAGTGCGAAAATGCTACCTCCAAGCCGAACTGCCTCTGTGGAAATAGCTTATTAAGGCTCAACGCTAAACACGTAAAGGAAGCGATTGCTCGGTATACTGGAGCGTCGTCCGGATTCGGCAAGGGTAAAGCCGCAGCAGAACGCGCTCGGAGCCAGGTGGTATTCACCAAAGGCGGAACATGATGAAAAGGTACTTTATATTGATGACCGCTACCTGGTCATACCAGAAATGGGCATTTTGAGGTTGCAATGGCCATAACGTACCTTGACGCTGTTCTGGTCGGGGATCGAGATGAGGCCGTTGCTCAGATTCGAGCCGCATGTGACAACCTTTGGCAAGGTGGAATGCGTGGTTGTGAACAAGTGTCAATGACTGGGAATCGTTGTCAATTCGAAGGTATTGATTCTGCGCTTTCTATTACTAGCATGTGAAATGGCTTCAGAATTCGTTGATTAGATTGCTCAGCACAAGTCAATCCATTTTTCGATGTAATTCAGTGCCGTATTTCGGCGAAAAAGGCGCTGCAAATGATGTCACGTGCGCGCTATTCGCACCACGATCGTGCTGGTTCAGCGCGACAATACTGCAGTGCCCGGTAACTAGCTCAGGAATATTCTGCTAGTTCGCACGCGATAACGCGACTCAGATGCCTTGGCCCACGTGTGTGAAGCCACACTTTCCAAGTCTACAAGTTGACTAGGGGGGATGGGATCAGGACCGCCAGCGCCGTTGCCATGTTGAGTAAGTTGGGTCCTGTCGAGAATGCCGCGTAAGTCCCGTTTGGAACACTTCGTTGCGACTGGGAAGTTACGGCTCCATACACCCTTAAACCACTTCCACTCTTACAGATTCTCCGCGTGGAGACAGCGAAGTTACCTTCATCTCCAATCTCCATGCTTCGCTTACTGTGATACACTCTCCCCCCCCCCCCCCGCAAACTAAATATTATGCAATGCTGTGATATAACGCGCCACTTTGCGATATAGTTGCAATAGAATTTCCAAAACCTTTTCCTTGCTCTTTCTCTAGAAAGATGCAAGAATATAGGTAAAGGAGTGGCGCGGCGCTTGTTTCTACTGTCCTGTGTTTTTATGTACTGACAGAGATGCTTCATCTCTCTTCTTTTCAGGTCCATCCGGCCATAGGAGATGCCTCTGTAGATTCGTCTGCGTGGGAAATGCATTCGAATGATATCACATATCTGTCAACGTGCTCCTGTGGTCGTCGACAAGCTGTACGCAGAGATCCGTTTACCCTGAAAGTACGTTCCGCAGGTGAACTTAGGTTTCACCACCTTCGAAGAGAATATAATGAATTTTCAGGAGGCGAACTATGACTTCTACTTTGAGAATAAGGTGTTCTCTTGCTGTGCAGGTTTGGAGAAACATGTATTTGCTGTGCTGGAGGATGATGACAGCGATGCAGAGAAGGGATTGGTTAGACTTCACGCTTATTTTCCTTCTTTTTTTGCCTATCCATAAGAAGTATGATTTCAGTGGCAGGGTAATGAACATTGGGACGAAGGTGAAGCTGGTGGTTCGAATCCATTATTTCCTGTGTCGGCAGCCATGTCGAGGGATCGACAGAATTCTGCCGATGATAACCAACGTATAGGAGCGGATGAAGAAGAGGGAACTGGAAGCGATACTGGCGAAGATTCGGTAGAGTTCCACTTTCCAGCTGCATTTATCGTTTCTTAGAACGGCGCTGTAGAGCTGTATTGTTGGGATTGCCTCTACCCGTCAGTAAATAAGAGGTGACCAAACAGATTGCCGTTCTCCTTCTTAGATCTCCATGAGTTTGAGATGGGCACAGGGTGCAGCTTAACAAGTCCTCGTGTATGAACGTTGAGTTATGTAAATTGCAATTATTCATATTAAAGCTTCATATCCTTTTTGTTTGAACAGGTGAGCAACGCCGAGCCTGATCTGATCGAAAGCTCCTCTCAGTCCTCACAAGACGACGATGTTCACTATCGCAATGCGCGCTCCTACTTAGACGATGAATCAGGTTTGCTGCTTGCAAGTTCTGAAGTTATAAGAGTTACGGTGATTTAAATCTCTTATCACTTGTATTGCGGCTAGCATAAGTGGTAGGATTGGCCTCCGGGTATGTGACTATGAGAATCATGATTCACCGCGCTGGTGGGCGTCGCGTGCGACGTCGCGCCCGTAACTGACGATGGTTTAGGTAGTAGGCAATTCACAACCGAAAATAGTCATGAATGTCTACGTTGTCAAGGTCTACAAGAAGTCCGGGACTCCAATCGACAGGTTAACACGAGTCAAGAAAACGCCGCGCTCCCACAGCCGCGCGCGGCGCAGCTATGAGCGCGGCGTTTTCTTAACTCGTGTTAACCTGTCGCAAATTACGATTCTCTCGTCCCCGATTGCTTTACGTCTCCCGATGGCTCCTAATCAGCTCCCAGCCGGGACAACGTTGCCTTCCACACCCTACCCTCCTGCGTGTAAGGGATATGGAAGAAACGCTGTTTTGTACATCGGCTACCCTGCTGGTCACTGTACAGTCCTATTAGCTGCGCATAAAGGGACGTGTCACTGGGTTCGCACCAGCCCGTTTTCCACTAGTTGTTGAAGCGGGAAGCGACAACGGTTGATGGAAAACAGCCGATGCGAACGATATTGTACGGTTGCTGTTTGCCGAAAGAAAAAACGGGCTGGCGCTGCGCCAAATTCGCCCCTCTGATATGTCCCATCATCCGCAGCGAAAAAACGATTCTGCATGGGAGCAGAACTGGTGCGTCTGACGCGTCTTCGAAAAGACCTGCATCAAAGAAATTCGTTCCTGGGCTGCATTTTTTGCATTGCATACTCCGCGACTTGAGCCATTTTGTCGCGCGACCTCTCTAGTTAGTGAATTAGTCAGGTAGTGAAAACGGACACGCCGTATACAATTATCACATATTTTGTACAGGACCACATAATTAGGGACGTCAAACATAACTCTTTTGAATGAAAAGTCATGCTTGTCACTCTTCCCATACTCATGACTCACCTGAACGTATTTGCAGTTTCATTCGTGAAAAATCCTCACACGAAATTGGATGAAGCTGCTATTGCTTTTGAAGCTCGAGTGAAGAAATTAAGGGCGAAACAGGTTTGCTAACGGATATTTTCTGATCGATTTGCTTCAGTTCTTTCGGTCTCCGATTGGCACGATCGCTGTGGGCGGACGGTTGTCGCTAGCGTCATTGGTGGAAGAATGAGTGGGGTGTGGCCAAACGCCCTCTTCGCAGCCCTTCCACCAGTGACGTTGGCAACAACCGCCCGCCTCCAGCAATCGTGCCCACTTCCTTTAATGGACAGGGCATGTCATGGCAATGAGGAGAACTTCTTTCGTGACAGGACCCCCGTCCTCGTGGCTACTACACCCCCCCCATCTGATCCTGAGAATTCTTCGAAAAGTGGCGTGCCCTGTTAATGATGTATGATTTGCATTGCTTGATTACTTTTCAGATCCCGTTTCTGGAGGGCGTGCCACATTCTTTGTCACCGGCGTTGCCTCCTCTTTTCCCATCATGGACACTTACATGTATCGGTCCAAACAATTACTACACGTGAGTTTCTTGTTAAAGCTCTTTTGTCCATGTTTTTTTTCTGCTGCCGAAGCTTTTTCTGTAGGCATTCATATGGTCTCCGTGATCAACCGAATCTGAAGTTGGGTGGTGAATACCTTTATCCGGTCACTGTACAGCTGGAGGTATGGTATTTGGTCAGCTTAAGGATTACATCCCCTTTTGTATCCTTACCGTCCACTATAATAGCCACTTTTAGGTTGATCCTGTGGCATGGGATCGAGATATGCAATATGTTCAAGCTGTAGAAGGAGTCTCATCTCGTGCTCCTTCTCGGAAAGCGCGCCGTCTTCCAGCAGAAGTTGAGAAGGTTTGTCAGGTTCTCACTGCCCCTAACTCAGTTTATGAACCGTTTTCAGGTGAAACTTTTTCTTGGAATGGAATATGAGTGTCCTCGTGGTCATCGCTTCTTTGTGGCTGAAAATGGAGAGCCTCTACGATTGCCCAAGGTAGAGGTGATGAGAGGTCTAAGGACTTTTTCTTAGGGGGGGGGGGTGCTCGGTGACGAGGAGAATGGGTTTGTTTTGTTTAAGGCAGCGCCCCGCGTTACAAAACACAACAGTTGTGTGGGGCTCGTATACTGATTGAAAAGATGGTGAAATATTTACAAACGTGAAGAAAGCGTGGAAAACGCCAGGTCGATTTCTTATATAGAATCCCCACGCGAACCGCACATCATACGCGCATAAGGCGAATAAAGGACGTGCTTGGGCGAATTCGTTGGTGCTGGCTCTTTTCCGCATTACCTCACATTGCCGTGGTTAGAGGGCGGAACCGTGGTCTTGTCGCGAGTGGATCGCGCTTTCCTAACGTGATTTTGGAATGCGAAAACAGTACATCCTCAGCGTTTTTGGGCACGACTACCATGTTCAAAGAAAGCGTCTGAAGGTAGGGTGAGTGCAGGGCATACTTGTGTATGATAATGTATTAAGCAGTAGGCAAGGGGGTCTTTTTGGCGCATTACTTTTCCAACACTTTGTTACCTTTTCAGAATTCGAACGCTCGATCAGCCATGAGCCGCGAATCGGATGACCAGTTTTTACGGTGCGATTTTCCTCTACGCCGGCAATGCACCTGCAGAAAACTGCCTGTGCAAACAGCTCAACTGATGAGAGTTCATGTAGTTACACCGAAAGCGCCAATTACAGTAACCATTCAGCCAGAAGTAGAGGTTGGTTAAAGTATTACAAGTATGCTTTATTGGTCTTTCAATGCAATTTTATTCCAGCTACCTGGCCAAGAGGGTCATTTTGGCACAGGGGAGGCCCCACTGCAACTGTCATGGGCTAGGTAAGTCTTAGAGGGATTTGTACGAGGTTTCAACATGACGACTACATAAGTAATGTGTTTAGATATTATATCTTACAACTACCGTTCATATATTCTGGACCAGCAGGAGTCTGGATACCGCCAGTAGGAGTGGAACGAGTGGGGGCATTCAAAGGAAATGCAATTCAAGTGAAATATGTGCCTATGTTGTCAAGGAGGTGACAAATAATTGCACCTCGTTAAAGTTATTGGTGGTTGTTGCGGGTTTGCTCTTTTCATAATGTGATATTATATTTCGTTTAGTTCGCATGATTATTGGTTAAAATCAATGTTTATTACCAGACGTTTCAAATTCCTGTTTTGCTGTGACGAACTCACAGACTTGGTGCTTGGTTTCGCTGTTGTCGTTTTCATTTGATTATGCCTGAAGCTAATATGCCACATTATGATAAATTTCTGATATTTTTTGTTTTCATTAACAGTTAATGAGCAATCAGTCTAATGAATGGAATCCCCTCTCCCAACTGCAGCTGACCTAAATCGGCTTAAACTCAGCAAATTGCGATTTTCATGCTCGCCTCGTCTCACTTTCGTCGCAGTAGGACGTTTAGGTGGTATCTTAGGACTAGTTAAAACGAATTTAGGGCAAACGCATACTGTAGTAAGTCTACTATGTGTAACTTGCTGTCTATTTGTTTGTTAGCTTGCTTGTTTATTCGAAAATTCAGATCCACCTAAAGAGCAACTTGGAGAGGTTGGGATGGTAGGGTACGGGGCAAGACGTACTGGGCACACTTGGCCGATGCCCCTCTCGTCCCCCACTCAGAGGGCGGGCATGCGTCGAAAAAGTGCGGTGTCACAGACAAAAATTTATAATTCGGTCCCAGAGCAGAGAACAGGTGGGGAAAAGCGGACTAGAGTTAGCCAGAGACTAGCAGATGAGCTAGAGGACACACTCGGAATAGGCGGAGCGTATCTGGTATAGGCGGTATTTCCCACAAAATTCGGCAACGCGACCCTGGAGAGAGTTTGGAGATCGCAAAAGAGGTCGACATAGAAGATGAATATTTAGGAGAAAGTGGGACATCCCTGTGGCTTGTTGAGAACTACACGCAGTGGGTGGAGCGTACTTTCAAATATGGAAATCTTGTTTCAAAAAATTGTTGTGCGATACCTTGCCATCGTGTACCGTACTTTTGACCAAATGAAATTTTCGAATCAGTTGAGTACTGTGCCTTTTGACCTATTCATTTCGAGTACTGGTGACATAAAATCACTTTTATGAGTCACGACGGATACTCGTGACGGGTCGTGAAGTGAGAACAACTGTTTGAAAAAAAAAAACGGGGAAGGTCAATCTTTTTCCTGGACGGATGTTGCCAGGCAAACGGATGGGGAGATTGATGAGTCGCTCGCCGTTCGCCGCATTTTTCGTTACAATGTCCGTCTGTTTCGATTGTAGATGATCTGTAGAAATGTGCAGACTTGAATCGTGACCAGCGAAGATGAAGAACAGTAGTGCTAAGAATTCTATTCTAATCGAAAAGGTTCTGGTTTCCATGGAAAGAAAAGCTGAAAAAAAACATGGGCCTAATGCGTGTCGTAGTCACCTTCTCTTCGTAATGCACTCCGTCAGAGGCACAGTCCCTGCTCATTGTTTGGGTAGTGACAAGAAATTATTGTGCCCTCGCCATTGGTCTACTTTCTCAATGCGGTAGAGAGGATTGCGCTCATCCCTACTTGGTGGCAGAGCGCTGATCGTATGATTGGAGGCAGTAATTGTTGTAGGCGATATCGCCGGGTACAGTGAGAAGCGGGTTACGAGGTATGCGGAATAACAGCCCTGCTTCCGGCGGGGGCTGGTTACTACCAAACGGTTAGTGATCTATTTGGGAGAAAGCATAACCAGTGGTGGAGACACCTCGGGTGGGCTCATTCATGTCTCTTGACACCGCGCCGAGAAGCTGAGACGATTCAACTGCAGTATTCACTGGCCCCGACTACACGAACAGCGTGGGCTTTGTGGGTGAGGATGAGTGCCAACAATGAGAGATGTAGATGAAGGACTACTAAGGGGTAGTTTTCGGAAAAAAAACAGAGCAAGTATGGTTAAGAAGCTTGAGGAGAATGGGTTAGGCTAAGAGCAGCACTCCTGAAGCTGTAAGCGTGAACTTCAGTAAATTTGATGAGGAGAACCGATTGTTTAGCACTACCACCCTGCTCTGTTACTTCCTCTACTGCAACCCCTTTAGTCCGGAGGTACAAGTTTAACGGAGCAATGCAGATCCGTTACTTCTCAGCAAGCAGAATATTCTCGACCGCCATCCTCAACAACCTGATCAGAATTCTCTCGGTGAGGGTACTGCATCTGCAATTCATCTCATGTCATTACAGCGATTATTTGGTCGATTTGTGAAGAGCTACAGTAGAAAAGAAATCTACTGTAAGTGTGACCGCCTAGATGATTTGGTTTAATAATCGAGGCTCGTCAATGGTACTAGATCGTGTAAAATAACGTTCAAATATGATTGCCACCAATTTCTCGATTCACGCAAGAAAAGCTGTACGGGCAACCCGAACGACATAGCAATTTGAATAGATAACTATTTAATATTACTAGTACACCGAGTGGCTCTACACTTATACCAATCGCAGCTGACGAAGGTATGTCATATGAGCTGCTCTTCTGGAAAACGAAATTCGAACCGGAACGGAACCTTAAATATGTACGGTAGGTGATATAAAATCATTTGTCGCCTTCTCATCTTCTTTCTCATAGCGAGGCTTACTTTTTTTCTGCAGTTCCAGGAATCGTATTCCAGTTTAGGTGCTTTCCTTATTTCAGAGAAATCCAGATCCATCAAAAGATCAGTCTCGGATCCAACAAAAGCAGGAATTTGGTAAGCTTTTTGTATGAAAGTAATTGCTGAAGCCTGGGTTCCCATCTGTTCATTTTTAAACCTGCATCATATTCACTCCATAGTTATGGCTACTTATACTTTAGATGTTTGTTCTATACTTGAATTATCAAACCTAATAATCAATACGTGTATTTGGTGGTGAAGGTGATGTATTGAAAAGTTTCTCGGTTTGCTAGCGCAAACCGAATAGCCCATTAGAGAGAGCTTCGTCTACCAAGCATAAGAAGAGTTTTTCAGTAAAGCTCAGGAATCCTCTGAATTGCCCCTTTAGTTCAGTTTCATCTAAATTATTCTCTATAAAGACTTTCTTACCTCGACTTTTCAGAGCCTCGACAGGGAGCTTGTAACCAGTAGGTCAATGAAGGACTCATGTGTCTTCAATGAAGGACTGGTTAGTGAAAAGGTTTTCAAAATTTGCTCCAGAAAAAAGTCTCCCCCTATGAAATGGTACGGTTTCTTCACCTCTTGGAACCCCTGCATCATACTTGCCCATTCATTCGTCTTCATTCCTCGCTAGAAGCTGAACCAAGAGCAGCGACGTTTGTTGATGCTTCACGAGTACAAATTGAGTACAGAAGTTTCTAAAGCAGCCGAGAAGATAAATCAAGTGTGGGTTGAAGGAACAGGCGGGGTAGTCATCTGTCTATGAGTTTCCTTGACCTAAGCCCGGAAACGAGGATTGGACTAATGAGCCATGATCGGATTATTAGAAACTATGGAACTGTTCCCACCCAATCCATTCTCCATCGATTTTGTCTGATCTTCCATGATGTCGACCGACTAGGGGGCTGAGACTTTTACCGTGGTTCACGTCTTCTCTGCAGGTAACTAAAGCGGCATTATTTCCTGGGAGAAGCCGTCAAAAGAGCGAGAAGCAGGGTAGATTTCGAAGAAAAAGTGGAATGAAGGGAAAAACTCTTGAATATAGGTAGCCCTCATTCCGACCTAAGAAACTGTTTGCTGGAACGCAATATTATTGTCTTCATTCATAAACAAAGCACCAGATAAAGCCTTCTGTTGCTGCATGCGGACGTGCATGCAGGAGTAGAACTCTTCAGGGGCGGGCCATGTCGAGGAACGCTTCAAAGGTGGGAAATTCGTGAATCAGGAGTTTTCGGCGGCTCTTTGATGAGTGGCTTTGAACTTTTCGCAAGTTGTGAGGTAATTTTTGAACTGACCCAGAGGAAGCTTGGATGAAATAAGCCTCCTTGAGAACTGATGTGCAATATGCTGTGCTACTTGGTCTCACTGAGAGTGGCTGTGTGTGCACACGGCAGTTCTAGAGGAACTGATCAGTAGCTGACCTCGAAGCTTGAACGGAAATTGGACCATCGTGCTCTAGAGTGCTTTCCTTTTCCAAGATTTTGTTTTTTCTGTTTCTAGTTGGACATTTCCAGACCGCGACTGCACATCTGCTGAATGACTCACCAACTGCGGATCAAGAACATCCTCATATTCTCCCACTTGCTCCTCCCGAGGATAAGGTAGTTGGCAGTGCGTACCTCTTAGTTAATCATGAAGCTAGTTCAGACCGTTTGGGCAATACATACAAGTTTCTTGAGGCATATTGAGTTTAGGTGCCTTCCATGCCCAATGGCGGCCTGAAAGTTGCTCACGACTTAAACACTGCCGACCCTTCACCACCGAGAAAGAACAAAGAGGC